GATGGCTTAATTAAAAATTATTTTTTAAAAAAATTAGTATTGTGGTTTTATGAGAACATGTAACCATTTTACAGAATTACAGAATCACAGAATAGGCCATGTTGGAAGGGGCCCACAAGGATCATCGAGTCCAGCTCCCAGCCCCTCACAGGTTAATGCCCTATTTGTAATGCCTTTCTATTTTTCTTTTTGTAATTATGTTACTGATGTCACACATGCGTTTTGAGTATTACATAATATTTCAAATAGAGTTTGAAGTCTCAGATCAATGTACAGTCCTTTGCCCAGCCCGAACATGAAGACAAAAAATGAGAATCAAGATTTCTGTAGTTCTTACTACATAAAATATCTTCATTAGTCTGGTTGACCATACTATATCCTATAAGGAAGTTTTTTATATAAACAATAAATATTTACATTCTTTGGGGAAAATAATCTCCAGCTCAGTTCTCCAGTTCTCTTTATTTCACTTGCATAATGAAAGGATGAATTATACCTTGCCTGTCATCTCAGGGGAGAAAAAAAAAAAAAGCAAAAAAAAAAAAAGGAAAAGAAAAGAGAAAAGACCAAAAGCCTCTCTGAAGAACAGAGAAAAATATACTAAATGTTTTCCACCTCCTTTTCTATCTGTGTTTGCACAGCTGATGTATTGAGGCAACTCAACCAGAGATGTAAGCACAATAGGAAGCCACTCTAATAATTGTACCAGATGCTTAAAAGCTTCTCCTCAAAGTTTTGTCACAAATTTTTTTTTCCTTTCTCCGAGGGATCCTAAGGCTTGCTATACTCTTAATAGAGAGCAGTGCCTTCTTACTTTCTTATGGAGGAAACAAATGCCTTAATCTTAGCTTTTGTTGCTATATGGCTGCTCTCTTTTATAGTAGAACTCAAAAACATAGTTTCAAGATCCCGTGTGTAGGTAATTCCCTCCTTAAACTGAAGTAGACATCTCTGACAAAATAAATTTTTATTTAATAGCAAACCAGGACGAATAGGAGATCCTTTTATGAATCCTTTTAGTTTTCATTCAAATAGAAGATAAGAAAGCTTTTTCATTAAATTTTGATTTAAAATTATTGAACTCAGTTTGAGTCAACTTTCAGATTATAATTGTCAGCTATGGGATAAATAGACATGTCCTCATAGCTGTCTTTGGAAAGTTTGTGATGTTTTGTCTTTCAACCCAAATAACTCCTTTTTTTTTTTTTTTTTTTTTTTTTTTTTTTTTTTTTTTTTTTTTTTTTTTTTTTTTTTTTTTTTTTTTTGGCTAGAAAACTTAAACAAGCATGAAGAGATGCAAATACTCATTTGTCTAATCTTTCTTCTGCTCTATATAGCTTCGGTCTAACCATGAACATCTTTAATATTTAAGTTTTAAACCATCACTGTGATTAATTTTTCCTTTTCTTTACTGATTTACTGTGTTGTGAAAGCTGCAAGTTTCAACTGCTCTGTGACAGAGACCAGAAAAAATAATAAACCCATGGAAAATAAGGTGGGGAGTGACTCCAAGGAACTACTTGTACCAGTGTTTTTCACCATTGTTATCCACCAAAAGCAACCACACTGATGCCAGTGTTATTTAGAATAAGATGTTGTTTAATACAAGCAAGAGGATTGCCTGCCTGAAAAGTACAGTACATGCAACCAGACTGAATCTACACAGGACTGCATGAAGTTTAACTTTCACAGGCTAATGTGTAACCCCATATCTGAGAAACTGAGATGCTGAAAAGCTGGAAAGAACATCCTGGTCTAGTGGGAAGGATATGATGGAAGGTCATTTCTCACCGGTATTAGAAAATTAACAAAGTGCCTTAGGCTTTACCAAACAGGAACAGTAAATAGTAAATAGTAAAAAAAACCCCATCCAAACAAGAGGCTCTGTTTTTAGAAATCCTGATCGCCTTGGAGTGCTTACTAGCCATGTCTGTGCTAGCCATTGAAAAATACTGGAGAGAATACTCAGACACTTTAATGCTTTATATCAATAAACTGCAAGTACAATCCCTTGGAGAAGTCTGGACTTTGCCAGCTCTTTAACAGTTTCCAGGCATGGTTTGGGTAACACCATGGGTAAGGGACCATTCCCAACAGGCAATTTAGGTCAGTCCACCCTGTTCTGGACAGCCTAGTGTCATAGCTATGGGGGTGGGGGCTGCTCCATGCCAATTGCCTTTAGTTCCAGAGAACAGCCTTGATACGTTTGATTTCTTAATATGTAGTCCAGCTAGGTGATGGGGAAATTTCCAGATGCCTTATAATTTAGAAAGTTCGATTTCTTCAAGTTGAATGTATGGATTTAGGGCCTAATTATAGATCTATTTTTAAAAATACATTGGCTTGAACAACTGAATAAGTGCAGGGCAAAGAGTTCTTCCTTAATGCAGGAGGAAACTTGATGGCTAGGAGACACGCCAGATGCCAGCTGCCAGCTGGATCGCTCCTGAGGACTGTACTGGCTTTCCCCTACTCTGTCTGCTCAGTAAATGCCCAGAAATGCTCTTTCCATTGCCCATTTGTATAGAATTTATACACACAAAACGACTTAGGTTATCATAGAACTATCAGCAAATAGTTCTGAGAAAAAGAGCAACAGAAATTACTTGACTTGATTTGCTTATATTCCTTTACCCTCTTTGTTATACATTTTCAAGCAGGTCATGGCATCCTGGCCTGCATCAAGAACAGTGTGGCCAGCAGGAGCAGGGAAGTGATCCTTCCCCTGTACTCTGCGTTGGTGAGGCCACACCTTGAGTATTGTGTTCAGCTCTGGGCCCCTCAGTTCAGGAAGGATATTGAGGTGCTGGAGCAGGTCCAGAGAAGAGCAACGAGGCTGGTGAAGGGACTTGTGCTCAAGTCCTATGAGGAGAGGCTGAGGGAGCTGGGGTTGTTTAGTCTGGAGAAGAGAAGGCTTAGAGGTGACCTCAGCACTCTCTTCAACTA